GCAGCCACTGCACTCCAGTCTGGGCAACAGAGTGAGACTCCAACTCAAAAAAAATAAAAAGCCATGTACTAGTCATTACATGTGGTTTCTCAGCCCACAGCAAAATCTGGGTTGGAGTCACCAAAGCCTAGTTAGTTATTGGCTCTGCCATCTAATAAACTAGGTTGCTGTTATGGGCTGGGTTGGATCCCCCAAATTCTTTCCTCTTTTTTTTTCTTTTTGCTTTTTTTTTCTTTTTGAGTATGAGTCTCACTCTGTCGCCCAGGCTGGAGTGTAGTGGCCACCACAGCCTCGGCCCACGGGCCTCAGGCGATCCTTCCACCTCAGCCTTCTAAGTAGCTGGAACTACAGGCACACTACTGCAACTACCACGCCTGGCTCATTTTAAACAATTATTTATTGTAGAGATGAGGTCTTACCATATTGCCCAGGTGGTCTTGAACCCCTGGGCTCAGGCAATCCTCTCACCTCCACCTCCCAAAGTGCTGAGATTACAGGTATGAGTCACCATGCCTGGCCCCAAATTCTTATGTTGAAGGCCTAACCCTCAATACCTCAGAATTTGACTGTCATGTGGAGACAGAGCCTTCAAAGGGGTGATTAAGTTCAAATGAGGCCATTACGATGAGCCCTAGTGCAATCTGACTGGTGTTTTTGTTTGTTTGTTTGGGGTTTTTTTGAGTTGGAGTCTCACTTCGTCGCCCAGACTGGAGTGCAGTGGCCGCTCCCGGCTACCGCAGCCTCGACCTGCTGGGCTCCGGCGATCCTTCCGCCTCAGCCTTCCAAGTAGCTGGAATTACAGACACGCACTACCACCCCTGGCTAATTTTTGATTTACTGTAGAGATGAGGTCTCGCCAAGTTGCCTGGGCAGGTCTCGAACCCACAGGCTTAGGCAATTCACTCACCTCGGCCTCCCAAAGCGCTGGGATTACAGGCTGAGCTACTGAGCCCAGCCCCCCCCCCCTTTTTTTTTTTTTTTTTGAGTTGGAGTCTCACTCTGTCGCCCAGACTGGAGTGCAGTGGCCACTCCCGGGCACCACAGCCTCGACCTGCTGGGCTCCGGAGATCCTTCCGCCTCAGCATTCTGAGTGACTGGAACTACAGGTGCGCGCTACCACGCCCGGCTAGTTTTTGATTTATTGTAGAGATGAGGTCTCGCCAAGGTGCCCAGGCGGGTCTCGAACCCACGTGCTCAGGCAATCCACTCACCTCAGCCTCCCAAGGCACGGGATTACAGGCTGAGCCACCGAACCCGACTCTGACTGGTGTTCTTATACGTAAAGAAAATTCGAACACACAGATTCCAGAGGTGCACATGCACAGAGGAAGGACCACGTGAGAACACGGCAAGAGGGCGGCGTCTGCAAGCAAGGGGAGAGACCCAGGAAGACACTAACCCTGCTGACACCTTGACCTTGAACTTTCAGCCTTCAGAACTGTGAGAAAATGTCTGTCTGAGCCACCTAGTCTGTGGTGCTTCATCATGGCAGCCCGAGCTGACAAGGACAGCTGCCAGGGCAAGTTACTAAGCATCTCTGAGCCTCTATTTCCGTATCTGTATGAAGGCCATAATAACAGTGCACCTTTTTGGAGCCGTTGTGTGAATACAAAGCCTAGCACCCAATAGACTCTGTGAGCCTGGGTGTCTCTGACAAACAGCTGAACTGTGAGAGAGGTGGGGCGAGGATCGAGGCTGGGGTAAGAGGTGACCTGCCACGGGCAGGCTGGAAAAACACAGAGCAGTTCTCATCTCAGAAGCAAGTATGATTGGAGTGCAATGGCGTGATCATAGCTCACTGCAGCCTCTACTTCCTGGGCTCAAGTGATCCTCCAGCCTCAGCCTCCCAAATAGCTGGTACCACAGGTGCACACCACCACACCCAGCTAATTTTTAAAAAAATTGTTTGTAGAGACAGGGTCTGGCTATGTTGCCCAGACTGGTCTGGAACTCCTGGCTTCAAACAATCCTCCCATCTCGGCCTCCCAAAACATTGGGATTGCAGTATGAGCCACTGCTCCTGGCCATGCTAGGGAGTTTTAATGCTGCAAGAAATAGACTTCAAGGATGGAGTTACAGGGAGCCAGTGAGAGCATTCAGGGAGGGCAGAAGAAGAGCCTGCTCTGTCCAAGAGGGTTGCAGACTTTGGGGAGGAGCGGCCATGGAGGGAGGACCCACAGCCACTCTTCTGGGCCCAGGGTGACAAGCGGAGTGCGTCACAGGCCGGTGGAGAGCCTGCAACTTTTTGGCTCTTGCAACTTTTTGGTGGAGGTGGGATGTGGTGAGAATGAGAACATGCCTGGGTTCAGTGGTTGGGACCGTCTAGGATGGGCGAGGGCCCTGGCGCCCTGCCTCCCATCCAGGCTACCTCTGAAGAGGACCCAGAGCGGGCTTAGGTTGAGAGAGGCAGACACGCCCCTGAAACCTGCAGCCCTTTGTGGGTTGCGTTGCTCTCAGAGAGGCAGCTCTGATGCTGGAAGAGCACTGGAACCCGAGTCAGAGGGCCCAGCGTGAGTCCTGGTTCCCACCCAGCCGCCCTATGAGCTGGGGTCCACCTCCCAGCCCACACTGTCCCCCTGGCCAAGTGCAGATCACCCTACCGGGTGCATCCTCAGGGCTGTAGGGGCAGGGGCCGCAGTATGATCTGGCCTCACCCCATCCTGGGCCGCTAAACCCCCAAGGACCGAGGCTCCCCTCTGTGCCCAGGGTCTGCTCACCTGTCTCTTGCTTCGGGGTAAGATGCTCCTCAGATATCTCCTCCCGGTTGTGACCCAGCTTCTGCAGGCCGCACTCTTCAGTCTCCTGCCTGTGGACAGAACCGGGCCCAGGGCAGCGTCCAGGCCCTCACCCCTGCTGGGCTGCCACCCACACCTGGGGAGAGGGGTGAGACTGCCGGAGGAGGTCACGGGGCAGCTGGGGGTGGGGGCGGAGAGACCAAGGGCGACAGGAACAGGGAGACCCAGAGGAGGGAATGAGGCAGAGGAAAGGGGGCTGGAGGCGGAGAGACCTCTTCCGGGGAGTTGGAGAGACATGGGAGAGACAGTGAAATGTGGGAGAGACAGAGACGTGAGAGAGACAGGTGGGGGAGAGACAGTACGACACGGGAGAGGCAGCGACGTGGGAGAAACAGAGATGTGAGAGAGACAGAGAGATGGGGGAGAGACAGAGAGATGTGAGAGCCAGAGAGATGTGGGAGACCAGAGAGACAGAGGAGACACGTGAGGAGAATTCGAGAGGAGGGAACACACAGGGTAACAGGCAGGTACAGTGACAGGGACCTGCATAGGGGACAAGCTTCTGGTCGTGGGGGCTTTTTGTGGGGGGGGCAGGAGGGGCTCCTACCGTGCCTTGGCTCCGCTCGGGCTCCGCTCGCTGCTTGGGTGTGAGAGTTCCATCCTCCTCCAGCCCAGGTCCAGGGCGGGGGCCAGCAGGACAGAGCCAGGCACAGAGGCCAGGACTGGGGCTCCCACCACGGGGACAGGGACAGCCCCGGGGGCTGGCGGCCGGGCCCGTGATGAGGTGGTGGCAGGGCCCGAGGCGGGGCTCTGAAGCAGGGTCAGAGGCGGGCTCCGGACTGAGCTGCCAACGTGGGCGAGGGTGGGCACAGGGCTCAGGGTCCTGGGGGCCCTCCGGGTGGGCAGGGCCCGGGCCTTCGGGGCCCTCCGACGGCCGGCTCGCCCCTCCGTCTCCAGCAAGCACTTCATGAAGCCCTGCCAGGGTCTCCCGAGGTTCTGAGTCCCTGCCGACTCCTGAGGCCACTTCTGCGCGCGACCCAGCTCCCTCCTCTCGCCACTGTCCCTGACCTCCTGGGGACAGAGGGCGTGTGGGAGGCCTCCAGCCAGCCAGACCATCCTGCAGAGCGGCTCTCTGCCTCCCACTCTGCAGGAATCCTCGCGCCTCTCCCCTTCCTCCCTGAGCCTTTGGCAGATGATGTACCCCAGATCTCGCCTGCATCCCACCAGGCTCCTGCCCCATGTATCCCCACGCCGCCCCAGGGTGCTGTGAGCTGTGGTTTTGAGGGAGTCACTCCCGGCCTCACCAGACCAGAAAGTAAGTGCCAGGAAGGCAGAACCCTGTCTGCCTCTTTCACCCATAAATACCCAGCAACCAGCACAGTAAATCCCTTCTCACCCCCTCAGCAAACCCAGCTACCTCCTGCATCTCTTCCCTCTCACCAGAGGGCTGGGCTGTCCCCAGCCTGCCTCCAACCAGATCGGGCCTGTCTCCCAGTCAAAGATTCTGCTCCTGGCTGGGTGCCGTGGCTCACACCTATAATCCTAGCACTTTGGGAGGCTGAGGTGGGAGGATCGCTTGAGCCCAGGAGTTCGAGACCAGCCTGGGCAACATAGCAAGACCTCATCTCTACAAAAAATTAAAAAATTGGCCGGGCTCGGTGGCTCAGCCTGTAATCCCAGCACTTCGGGAGACTGAGGCGATGGATTGACTGAGCCTGTGGGTTCGAGACCAGCCCGGGCAACTTGGTGAGGCCTCGTCTCTACAATAAATAAACAGTCAGGCATGGTAGCTCGAGTCTGTAGTTCTGGCTACTTGGAAGGCTGAGGTGGAAGGATTGCCAGAGCCCAGCAGGTTGACCATGAGCATGCCACTGCACTCCAGCCTGGGTGATGCAGCGAGACTCCCACTCAAAAATCAAATAAAATTAAATTTAAAATTAAGAAATTAACCGGGTGTGGTGGCATGTGCCTGTAGTCCCAGCTACTTGGGAGGCTGAGGCAGGAGGATCACCTTAGCCCAGGAGGTTGAGGCTGCAGTGAGCCATGATCGTGCCTCTGTACTCCAGTCTGGGAAACAGAGCGAGAGCCCAACTCAAAAAAAAAAAAAAAATCCTACTTTCAATTCTTTGGGGCATATACCCAGAATGGGAATTGCTGGATCATATATTATCATTCTAATTTCAATTTTTTGAGGAACTACCATACTGTTTTTCACAGTGGCTGTACCCTTTTACAGTCTCACCAATAACGTACAAGATTCCAATTTCTCCACACCCGCATCAACACTTGTTATTTTCTGTTTTTTCTTGTTGCCAGCAGCCATCCTGGTGGGCAGAGCCTAGAGCCTTTCGATTCCCTTTCTCCAGCCATCCACAAGCCCTCTCGATAGCACCTCAAACCCCCCTGCACGTCCTCCTCCTGTGCTACCACCACCTGGTCCAAGCCATACCGGCCACCACCCCCCCAGCCACTGCGGCATCCGTTGTGCACCACAGTCTCCACCCTTGACCCCACCCAAGTTCTTGCCCACCTGCTGCTACATCAGTACGTTACCAGTCTACAAGGGATCATCTCACATGCTCGCCTAAAACTCTTCAATGGTTTAGCTTAGGCTTCAGATATAACCAAACCCTGGCCTTCGAAACACCCTCCACGCCTCTGACCTCATCCGCCACCCTCTCCCCTCACGACCTTCCCCCACTTCCTGCTGTCCTTAGCCTCAACGAGCTCATTGCTATCAGGGCCCTAACGCTGCTCTCTCTCCCAGACGCTCAGGCTCGTCTCTGTGCATGGCCCACTCCTGCGTGTCAGGCAGGTCCTGACTAAACGTCACCTCCTTCCCGAGTCCCCGGGTCCCCTCTCTTGGAGATGGCTGTATTCCAGCAGAGGGCCCTCAGCGCCTCCAGCACTCTCCCTAGCCCTTGAAGCGTGACTGTTTCCAGTGAAACCAGACTTGTTGGTTTACGTGTTGATGGTCTGGACTCTCTCCCAACTAGATGGGAAGCTCCGTTCACCACGAAGTCCCTGGTTTCACAGCTGTGCTGGACACGTCGTCCTCAATGAACGTGTGAACTAAACACTTGAGTATTCATTCCACTTTTCCCAGTGACGTCTGAGGAACGAGACAACGTGAGCCGAGCACCTGGCACAGGGCGAGTGCTCAGCACACGTGAGGGTTGGAAATTATCATCGTTGAGTGCTCTGGAGCCTGGAAGGGAGACCCGGCTCCCTCTGCCAAGGACATCTTTGATTGTTTTCCTGAATCACGAGCAAATGCCCAAATTTTTATTTATTATTTTTTGGAGACACGGGGTCTCACTGTGTTGCCCAGGCAGATCTCAAACTCCTGAGTTCAAGCAGTCCTCCTACCATGGCCTCCCCAAGTGCTGGGATGACAGGCGTGAGCTCCCAAGCCCGGCCTGCAAATGCTCAATTTCTGTCAGGCTTAAAACAAACAATCAAAAGCAGTTCCAGAGCTCCCACTCCGTTTTGACATTAGGGGCCCCAGATGGAGGCCACGAGTCCAGTCTCATGGTCATCATGGCTCTCCGGGTCTACAGGGCTGCCACAGTCCTGGGCCTCTGGCCCACCTCAGAGACAAACTCTGAGCCCCACAGAAGGTAGGGGTCTGTCCCAGCACCTTCCTCATTATTCCAGGATCTGGCACCAAACGTTGCTCCTGGCGGGCACTCAACCAGGCTGAGCTTGGCCCTGATGTCTTTCCCTCCGGCTACTCAGCTCCTCACACATCTGAATTCCCCCCACCTTCCCTGAGTTCCGCCTGACTCCACGTGTCCTGCGTAGGCTGCTGGGCTGACCTCTGCACGGCTCTCCTGTCACTGCCCTGCTGCCCGAGCCTTCAGTGGCTCCCTATGACTGTCACACCTGTCCCTCCATCTACCTGAGCCACACATATAGTCATGCCAAGTCCACACGCCCCATTCCAGGACTGTGCAGGCTGGGTCTCCAGGAGGCCTTGGACCCGCCCGGTTCTCCCCCTTTCTCAACCATTCTCAAGAATAACCATGGAAAGTGCTGGACTGTAGCACCCTAGGCTCTGTTCCCCTCCTCCTCCCCCACCTAGAAACAAGATGCTATTCAGTGTGTTAATCCAGCCACTCCAGGGTATAAAACCCAGGACTGTGAAAGGCTGAGGCAGAAGGATCGCCTGAGCCCAGCAGGTCAAGGCTGTGGTGGCCGTGAGCATGCCACTGCACTGCAGCCTGGGCAACAAGAGGGAGACTCCAACTCAAAAACAAAAAACAAACCCAGGCTGGCAGCTTTCTGGGGTCCCTCAACAAGTGGGGTGCTCACAGACATAAGCCCCGTCAGCCCTAGGCAGCTTCCTGAGCCTCGAGGGACCGGCTCTCAATGGATCCTAGGCCTCTCCTATGCCTTGCTGTCCCTCTGTAAGTAACAAACTCACATCGCAAAACTTGTGTGGGAGGCTGCTTTGCCCACCGGACTCGGGCAAGTTGGTAACCAGTGCACGGCGAGCCTTTTTCACATGCCAGGGGTGGACATCATGGTCAGCTTCCAATATTCTTTTTCTCTTTTTTTTTTTGAGTCAAGGTCTCACTCTGTCACCCAGGCTGGAGTGCAGTGGCACAATCACAGCTCACTGTAACCGCAGTCTCCTGGGCTCGGGTGATCCTTCTGCCTCAGCCTCCCGTGTAGCTGGGACTACAGGTCTTGTTCAACCATGCCCGGCTAATTTTTAAAAATATTTTTGAGCCAGGCTCGGTGGCTCAGCCTGTAATTCCACGCCTTTGGGAGGCTGAGGTGAGTGGATAGCCTGAGCCTGCGGGTTCGAGACCTGCCTGG